AATGGTTGAAGTATGAAAATAATTAATATAATACTTCTAAAATAGAAAAATATGTGAGTAACATGAAATCGGCCGGTTCTGTGGATTTGCCCATATAAATTCAAAAATTCGCAAAAATACCGTGTTATTGGGGCAATTTACTCCTGTATAAAAAACGGGGGATAGAAATATGAAATTTTGAAGGTTTATTCTCTAGTTTTTTAACCCTCCGTCAGTCGCATGAGGAGAGAATCCCTCACTCAGTTGCATTTTTCATTTATTTCTCTTAATTCACACAGAAAATTATCACTCAAATTCTTTCAAATCAAATGATCTTTGGTTTTTTAACATCGGTTCGGTAGATTTCGAAAAAAGCCGTGCACCAATTTGAAAAATATGTTTTCGACAAAACCCGATTAAAGTTCTAATAACATAATACATTGAACCAGGGCTAACAAACCATTTTTGATTATAACTTCTTTTTTTCATATTTTTTAAAGAACGTTTTGGGACAGTAATTTAATTATACTAAGGAACATTTTTCAGCAAAAAAAAATCTATTTTTTCTGGATTTTGAATCAGAAATTTCCTTTAACAAAAATGTTTGATTTCTTTAGAATTTCTTTGGCAGCAGTAACAGAACGATTGTTTACTTTTTGTAGCACCAATAAAATTTGTTTTTTTTTAGCATTTATCAACATTTTATTTAAAAGAATAAATTCAATTCAATTTTACCAAATTGAGTTTGGGTATGTTTCTAGGACTTTTAAACTTTATATAATCACACAATATAGAATCATAAATATTTTAAATTAATTTTACAATAACATAATTTTACAACACAATTTTACTGCATATGCTTCACAAACAAAATAATGTAATAAATTAATGAATTCTCATCAATTTATTTTGTTGTCTTTGATTTATAAATCTAAAATTATGTTTCAAAAATTTTTAAAGATTGCACTTAGAGAATTGCAAGGTTTTTTATTTTCTTAAAATATATACTTTAAATTTAGTATATTTGGTTTCAAAAATTGTCTCATAAGCAGAATTTTATAAATTTTTATCTCAATTGAATTTTATAAAGCTAAAAATCCATTTTACGTAAATTTATACCGTTGTAATACTACTATACAGCAAGGTTTTTCTATTATTTAATTGATTCGTGAATTTCAAGAAGGGCTCAACTTGAAAAAGCTTTAAAAAATTCAGCTTTTTGATATATTAAAGTTTAAAATTCATAGAGATATGTCCATATATAAAATAAACAAACAAATTTCCAATATGTCTAACGATATTTTTCTTTATAAATGCAGACATAGCCTCGTTTGCAAACCACTTACAACTATTCAAAATAGCTATATCGTTCAATATGCGCATGGGCGATGAGTAAAGTATAGAAAATTTTCATTATTATATTTATCGCCCTATTTTATTTTCGTAGTCTTATGATTATAAAAACATTACTTCCTCAAATTAGTATATAATAAATATAAGAACACATGTTATTGTCTGTTGTGTAAAGATACGCGCCATTTTGAAAAAGTATTGAGAATAATAACACCAATTAGAAAAAATTAATCTAATTAAATAACATCACTGTTAACTTAACAATATAAAGTTGCAACCAATTGATACCCAAAATATATTTATTTATTTATTTACATGTATTTACGGGCAGTGCCCTTTCGTACATAAGTACTTAATAATAAAGTTCATAGCCAAACAAATTTTTGAAAGAAGTATGGACACAAGCAAAATAATTAATTATAGCAAAATATAAGTTCACGCAACGTAGCTACAAAGTTATTAATTGAGACTCCATAAAAATCAATCCTATCATTGTACAAGTTAGCCTCTCTAGTTAGCCGTGGTATTACAGAGTTATCGCTATAGTTAGTACGGTTTAGTTGAAGTTTGAACAAAGTTGGATGTCTCACAGGTTTAAAAGGTACAAAAAAGTCTATTAAGGACAAAATCGCAGGACAATTTATCATTCCATTAATAATTTTAAAAAGAAAGAGTAAGTCAATATAAAGAAATCTCTGTCTAAGTGAAGGGATTCTTAATACGCGTCTAAGTTCAGAGTAATCATGACTATAAGTATCAAAAGTTATTCCCAAACACCTCGCAGCAAAACGCAGAAACTTATTCTGTACACGCTCAATTTCAATCAACAAAGATTCCTGATAAGGTAGCCAAATAATACAGGCGAACTCGAATATTGATCTAACAAGTGAAAAATAAAGAATCTTTAAAGCTAATGGATTTTTGAAGCAAGATGCACTTCTTGTGACAAAGCCCAAGGTCCTGTTAGCCTTCGTAATAATATTTTCAATATGCGCTCGAAAGTCAAGAGCGGAATCTAAAGTAACACCCAGGTCTCGCACCATGCTCACTCTAGTAACAGTCTCATTACCAATCTTATAATCAAACTTAATAAAAGCTTTTTGTTTAGTAAATGAGATAACGCTACATTTTTTAGTATTTAAAAATGATTGTTTTTTATTGACCAATTTACAAGTTTATCAAGATCAGCCTGGAGATGAATACAATCTTGCTCAGAGGTAATAGTTTTATATAATTTGAGATCGTCCGCGAAAAGTAAAAACAAACTGTGATTAAATAAGGGATGAATTTTATTAATAAAAAATAAGAAGAAAAGAGGACCAAGGTGCGAGCCCTGAGGTACTCCTGAAGTTGCCAGATACACAATTTAACAAGACAAATAAAAAAATATTTCAATCAATTAAATATTTATTTAATACGACAATAATGATTTACTTGAAACAATTAATTTATTTATTTCACTCAAATATTTCATTTTATTGAAACAAATAAAAAGTATTTGATACAATAACTTTATTTAATGCATTCAAGTCAACTAAATTATTTAATACTAATACACTATTTTATCAAGACAAATAAAAAAATATTTTAATCAATTAAATGTTTATTTGAAACGAAAATAATGAGTTACTTGCAACTATTAATATATTTATTTCACTCAAATATATATAATGCTTTATTCAATGTTAATACACTATTTTACTACAGGAAAATAAAATATTTTGATCAATTAAATATTTAAGTGTAATAAGAATAATGAGTTATTTGATTCTATTCATTTATTTATATATATTATTTAATATTCTAAGTCCAAAAGTCAAATATTTTTTCATCAACAAAAAATTAATGTTTACAATGATTCAGAACAACGAAAAACGCGTTTTTAATAAAAATATATTTACACTTTTTTTGAAAATAACACACTCACATATGATCGAATATCAAAATTTTCTATGTCCAAAAGTCAAATATTTTTTCATCTACAAAAAATTAATATTTACAATGATTCAGAGTGTTACGTTCCGAACTAGGCGTGGTTTTAAATAAAAATTAATTTTATTTACTTGAATGTAATAAGGCTGATTAATCAGGTTGGTAAAGCCTGATATTTATTTTTATGTAGGATCGTGGTCACTTGTCAAAACTACGGGTTTTGCGTTACAATAACAAGTCAAATATTCCCTTTTATAACATTTATTGATTAAATAATAATTATATAGTAATGATTATACAATAATGATACAAGTTTACAATTCGTTTACTTACTTTTAGCAATGAAGTCGGATAAATCGATGATTATAGCTTAGTCGTTATAAATTGGTTTTGATTTGATTTGAAATAGTTCGTTTTGGTTGCACTTGTGTAACTTTAACGACTTAAATTGTTTTATAACTATTTAAAGAATTGCAATGTTCTTTATTGTTATTTCTCGTCACTCGCACCTTTGACAGGAATGAATTTTATAGCAGGTGTAAGAGAAGCAACATATACTAAATTGACAAATTTAGAAAAAGAGATAATGCAAGATTTCTTTAGTATTTATAGTTATAAATACGACAGTTATTTCTATTAAATTATTGATTCTAAGTGTTAATTTGCTTCTCTTGCACCTATTGGCTATCAGGAAAGAACTATGTTCTAAGTGAAAAGTCAAATTAACTTGCACCTATTGGCTATCAGGAAAGAATACAATAATTAGGGCGAAAGTAAACTGAAGGGTCGCTCTACGATGTTAGAGATTGCACCGGAACTTTTGACAAGCTTTATGGAAAAAGCTCTTGTTTATATACTAGTTCGATTATGCTAATTAGTGGGAGAAATGTCATATTATTGGGGAAGGGGTGATCTATAAATAGAATCACTTTCCTTATATGGTAATGATCTACATCGCATGTATGACATTGAATTTTCTTCTTTCTGAATTCTCTCTTTTATTTGCTGACAATGGGCTTTTGAAGATCATATTACACTTGGATCTTCACAACCTTCGCATTCTTCACGCGCATAAACAAACAAGCTCGAACTTGCTTCACATTTTGCTTACATACATCCTATTTTTAGCTTTTCAACTTTCTGAACTTTTATGGTGAAAACGAATGTCATATCTCTTTTGATATCGATTTCGTTTTCACATTCTATCCTAGCAATATATACATAAGTAAATACATTAAAATAAGACATATAGTTTAAGTATTGTAAAATTATCATAGAAAAATGTCTTATTTTAACGATAATTTTAAGGAAAATTAGGGAAAATTGTTACCGGGATGTAACAGTCTCCCCCCCTTAGATTTTTCATCGTCCCGATGAAACTATTTCCAGTTGTCGCAAATACATGATTATAAGACTGGAATTTTTGAAATTGAGACTATCTTTTATAGTCCTTACGCTTACTGACCTACATTCATTGTGACATTGATATCCCTTGAATTTATCTGTAGTAGCTAATGTGAAGACAAAAATGATGATGTGACATCGAAATGAATTTACAATGTTGTGATGCGTGTTTGTGTATTCAAAGTGTTATGGCTATCTTCTTGAGGTAGGTATGAATTTCTTCTTTCGTGGTACAGTTAATGACCTCTTGTTTGTTGTGTGCGTATATCAGAATTGTTTAGATCAGCACTTTTCATCCCTTTAAGATGCAAGAGGTCCGAAGATCTTGTCAGTTTGCTTGCATTTACCATGGAGAAACAATCAACAACCGTCAATAGTGAGTAAATGCGGAAACAGTGTTGTGTTGATATATGTAGTTATATTAGTTTATTTCAAATTGTTTGTCTTTCTTTTATAGTGCCTGGTGATAAAAAATGCAGCTCGAGTTTGGTGTATTACTTCCTATCTTTACAAGGATTAGCGGCTTCCGTATATTATGCCGCAGAGGAGATTGAGGTGTTAGAGGGTCAATCCAGACCTGGTCGTCCTCGCAAAGGTGTAATCAAGGACATTACCATCAGTCCAAAAGTCCGACAGCGGCACATCCAAGGGCTAAAACGTGAATTGAAGGAAAATTCTGGACAGATGACGGCCATGCTCAATTCTTTATTGTAAGTAAAATTTGTTTTGTTTCAGTTTATTATGTTCATAATTAATCAATATGCATGTAAATATATATGTATTCTTCTATTATTTATTTATTTATTTTATTGATATATATATATATTTTTATTTATTATATATTTTTTTTTTTTAGTCGTCCGGGTCGTCCTGTTGGATGTTTTTGTGGAGAATGTCAGGTTTCTCCAATAAATAAGCCCAGGGTTTCATCGGAAAATCGTGAGTATAAAATTTTTATTTTATTTATATATATATATATATATATATATATATATATATATATATATTTATATAAATTATATTTTAATATGTATAAATTTTGTTGTATGTTCTAGTATCGTCAGAGATTATTGAGGTTCCGGTACAAACCCAATCAAGGGTTTGGCCTCGGACCATGGTGTGGATTAATGAAGGTTCATCATCAGGGCTTGTTGAACCGCAACCTGGACCTTCTTCGAGGCCAGACCCCTTGGCCATTGGAGAGCCTGCTCCTAAACTATGGAGGCCGTTTGACGATTCAATTCAAGAGCCTAGACCTGGTCCTTCTAGGGAGAATTCCCTAATTAATTCGGAGGAGCATAATCCTGGTCCTGTATGGTGTTTAAAGCCAAATGCAGAAGAAAATGAAGAATCGGTGCCAATAACATTATGCGTGTGTGGAGAATGCTCTCCATAAATTTTCAATTTTTAATTATTAATTAGTATTTTACGTGCATATACTTCTTTTTCCCTTTTTTTTTTATTATGTATTTTTTTTTTTTTTTTTTTTTTTATTTTTTTGTTATGTATCCTTTTATATTTTGAATGTGTGTGTGAGTTTACTTTTTGTAGTGTGAATGAGTGAGTGTTTTTTTTTAATAAATATTATAATAATTTTGTAAAATTTATTTTACTTTAATTTCACCATCCTTGTCTTCCTTATATAATGTATCCTTTTTTTTTTTTTTTAATAAGCTTAATATTATTCTTTCTTTAATTATAATTTATATGATTTATTATTAATATTATAAATTACATGATTATTTTGTTTTTACTTTTAAATTTTCTTATATAAATTATTAATATATACATATATATATATATATGTATCCTTTTTTTTTAACTTTTATTAATCATTTTAATTATTTTAAAAAAAAATTTTTTTTTTTTTTACATACAGTTTTAGATATATATACATATATATAGATAAAAAACAATATTGTTAGGTGTTGGGGCCATCGATTTATTGATTAAATCGATGAATCCAACGCGAAATATTCATATTTAGAACTAGGGAAGAAGAATGCGTTCGGAGGTAATTTCTGCGAGTACGCTATGGCAGCCATGCACGGTGCGACAAGATGGCGAGTCTAGCTACTCGGCCGTCGCTTGGCATGAGAAGGAAGGCGTGGGACCCAGCGCGCGGGAGGCTAGCGGGAGGCGTGGGCCTCGCCACTCCTCCGCGCATCGAGTACCTTCCCCCATTCTCATGCTTGCCTGATACTCAAGGCTCAACTCGAAGCCTTTATTTTGCATTTATTTATAATTGTTTATTAGTTTAAAATTTTCATATTAGTACATTTCAATAAGCTATACTTAGTTTTATTATAATTAAAGTGTTTTAATTATTTTAAAATAAATTTGTTAACTAATGTTATATATGATAACTAAAATTAGTTTATTATTATTAATTTTTTTGATATTAATGTTGAATATTTAATAACAATTTATCTTAATCTTTACTGTCACTTTTGCTTTAAATTACCAAATTTATTATTTTATTAATTACAATATGGTAATATTTTAATTATGTAATTCAACATAATAAACAATAAAATTAATAATGCTTCTTTTATTTATTTATTTGGTTATATTTTCATGCAAACAAGCACATATAATAAACAATATAAATGTTCATACATAATTGCATTGTTTTATTGTTTATTTATTAATTAATTGCAATTGTTAATATAATAAAGCACGATATATGTATAGTTTATTAATGATTTAGTTTTTATTATTTTATTATAGGTAAAATATATATATGATTTATTCTTCATCATTTAATAGCAGTGTAAATTTTAAATTCAAATTATTTTACCGCTATTCAATGATGAGTGTTATATAGGCGTATGTGAAATAGAAGCTGGAGGTATTGGCAGTGTTGTTAAAGGTTTGCATGCATCCAGCAGGCGGCCATCGCTGTGCAACATGCGCACTTGGAGAATAGCTTCACTCTCCGGTCGATGTATGTGATCGATGCGTAAGCTTTAAGGCTGTTTTACGTTGCCTTTGCTGCGTCGTTCTACGTCTATAAAGGATGCCTCACATTGTTCTTGTTATTTTATTATCTTAAATTCTTCAAAATTTTTCTGATTTTGATAACTGTCTTCCCTCCTTAGATTTCACATTGTCCTCAATGTGTGTTGAAGCCAAAATTGTTTGATATTTCTTGGTCTATTATGCGTTTGGTTGATTTTCTCTCCTTCTTCTTCTCATTGCTATAATCTTATAGCAAAAGTATAGGTTTTTCAGCACTATTATTAATATAATGAATATTAATAGCTTAAATGCTATTGATATGTATGTTGTGGCGTCATTTATTATTCCTAGGAATGGAATCTCCATCTGTGGAATAAAATTTTTTTTTTTTATTTTAGTTATATTTTTTTTTTACAATAAAATTTTAAAATAAAGAGGAAGGAAGAAGGCGACCGCCAAATCCCCTTCCTTCTTTTTCCTTCGTCTTTCTTTTAATTATTTTTTTTTTTGATTATTTATTTCATCTTATGTACAATAAATTATTTATTTTCAAAATATTTTGTTAATTTTATGATTATAATTATTATTTATACTAGATATAGGTTTATAATTTATTTTATATAAATAATGAATAAAAATTTTTTTTTTTTTTTTTTTTTTTTTGAATATGTATTAATATTATTATGATTATATAGTTATTTAATGATATAATTATTAAAATGTTAATCAGTAATTAATAAAATATTATGATAACATACATTTTTAATAATGATAATGTAATTAGACATAAGATTATTATATAATAAGGATAATTAAATAATATGACTATTATGGAATTATTACATATACAATAATCAAAGTGATTATTGTTTAATTGTCATATTATTAAATACTATTTAATGCTTTTTTGTAGGGGATGGCAATTCCCAAAAATCATCAGTTTCGTCATAGTTGTTTTCGTCTGGTTTTTGTATATTATTTAAAAAACGTTTGTTTCGTATTACGCCGTGACATTGCTCTTTTAAATGTCCCCTTGAATAACAAAGTTCGCAGCAATTTTCCCACTTATATAATTTTAATTTTATTATTGTTGGTTCTTGTCTTGACATTACATATGTCGAATTGGTGATCGTTTTTGGTTTTTCTTCTTCACTAAAGTAATAAATCTTATTTAAATGTTCTAGAATCTTTCGAGCTGCTGAATGCTCAGAGTCTCTAACTTTGCAACATCCGTCCCCTAATACAATGAAAGTATTATTATTTTTAGAGTCTGTCACAGTGCACCTAACTTGCCAGGGTTTTTTATATGAAGGGCCTGTGCCCGGTTCTATAATATAAATGGGTTTATTAAGATTATATTCGGCAGTTAGTTCCTCAAGAATTCCCTTAGGGTAAGCAATTGATGAAATATCCCCTTTTGGGAAAATGAAAGCTCCAATTAATTCTCCTTGTAGAGGTGCAGTGAATAGGAATGATTCAGTCATCTAAAACAGGAAAATTATGTTATTAACCTATTCATAAGCAATTTTTAATTTATCTACATGTTTTTGAAACCTTTGTCCATCTTCATTTATTAATATTACATTATTTTTATCCAATATAGCCACAATTCTGTATGGACCATGATAACAAGGATCGAATTTTCTTTTCATTCCTTCTTTTATTACATAAGCTTTATCTCCTACTTTTCCTAAAAATGGTTTCATTAGTTTATCGTAATTTTCTTTTGATTTTAATTTAGCATTTATTAAATTATTTGCTGCTAAGATTCGAATTTCATTTAATCTGGTTATTAATTCTGATAAGTATGAGCCATATGTTTCTAGTTTTTCTTGTTCAGGAAATGAGCTAGGAGTACGGGCTATTTTACCGAAAACTAACTCATATGGAGTGAAATTAGTAGCTTCATGTACTGAAGTATTATATGCAAACATAGCAAAAGGAAGTAATCTATCCCAATCATCATAATCTTTAGCATATTGTTTTATATAATCTGCTAAAACAGCGTGACTTCGTTCTAAAGATCCATTTGTTTGAGGCCTATAACCTGATGTTGTGACTTGTTGTACTTCAAATAATTTTGATAATTTAGACATTAACTTTCCTATAAATGAGGTACCTTTGTCAGTTAATATTACTTTTGGTGCTCCATATACTGAAAATAATTCTTTTGCAACAGTATGAGCGATTGTGGTTGCAGAAATATCAGGTATTGCAACAGCTATGCAGTATTTAGATAAATGATCTTGCATAGTTAGGATATGACAATTTCCATCTGGGGTTGTTGGTAATTTACCTACAGTGTCAAGAGAAACTTTATCAAAAACGTCTAAAGGAGTATCAGTAATAAGCATTGGTTCTCGGGTTTTAATACGTACAAGTTTTTGAGATTGGCATGTTATACATTTTCTTACAAATTCCGTTATTTCATCTTTCATTCGAGGCCAATAAAATCTTTCTCTTATTCTTCTATATGTTTTTGTAATGCCTTTATGTCCTGCTATTTTGCTTTTGTGGTATTCACTGATAATATCGTTTCTAATTTCTTCTTTAGGTACTACAACTTGTCCATGACAAATAGTAATTTTAATATTACTGTTTTCAAAAATAGAATTGATAATTTGTATTAACTCTCCTCTAGGTAATTCATCGGTAAAGTCTCCATGCCTAGATATTCTTACTTCTTCTGTTTTTTCGTGGTAAAGAAGACCTTTTAAATTACGTATTCCTGCAATGATATCTTCTTTTATTAAAGGATCAAAATGATTTTCTTTTATTATTAAGGTGTAAATTTTGTATTTTCCTCGTGGTGTTACAAATATTTGTCCTTTAATAGGATTTTTAGATTTCATTTCTTCGGGATCTATTACTCCTATATCTATTAAAAGTCTACTTATAGGTGAAATGAATTCGCAATCTGCTGACAAGAAATGAATATAATTACTTCGATTATATGTTAGGTTTTCTCTGCTGCTCGTTATATTAGAATTTCTTTCATTTATTTTGGAATAATTTATGGGTATTTCTGGAGGAATACTTGATAATGATGTTTTAATTTTCGATTTATTAAATGTTTTCTTTGTATCTTCTTTTTCTTGTACTTCTATAATTTCCTCTTCAGAATCTGTTTCATTATTTGAATTATAATAAGGTGTAGATACTGCCGTAGGGTTGTTGAATTGCATGGGTGTGTTTATTTCCTGTAAATTTGGTTTAAAGGTTACTTTTCTTTTTTTAAACTTTCTTTTTCTTCGTTTCAGTGGCGTTTGAAAGTACATCTCCTCTATTATGTCTTCATTATTAATTGAATCTTCATATTCTGAGTCATAAATTTCTAATTCTTCTTGATTCATGTCGTCCTTTTCTGAGTCAGAATTTTGGAGTATTTCTTGTTCATTGTCCTGCCATATGGATTCACCTTTAGCATAATCCCAA